GTTCCTTTATTTCTGACTTTTCTAGAACCTTCCTTTCCAACCTTTTCCCTTGGGTGGGATTAACAATCCCAAGAAATGGGAATGGAACAAAGGGTGAAGTGGGACCCTAAGGCAAAAAAGAACAAAGGAAAGAGCAGTCGAGGTGGAACTCTCGAGGAGGACTGACGAGAGAAGGTAGTGCTCTGGATCGCGTGTGAGACGATCGGAGACTACGAAGCTAAAGGAGAAGTCTGGGCTCGAAGTCCGTAGAATAAGGACGGAGAAGTGGTGCAGCGTCAGATTGAGTGTAAAACAATTAGAAGCTACGAGGAGCCAGCGAATCGATAGGAAGAAACTCTTATAATAGAATTTTAGAGGAAGCCATCGAAAGAATCGTACGAAAAGACATAAAGGAAGGACGAGAGACAACGTTCCACGGAAAGGTCCACGTGGTGTTCCACCCAAGGTTTCGAACTCAAAATCCCGGGTATTTCCATCTCCCTCTTATATTTTATTATCTTTCTACTCTCTCCTTCCCTCTTTAGTTGTAAGTAGTGTAAGAATTAGTTATAAGTTTTTGCCTCGCGTATAGTTGTAACTCTCAATTAATCCGCTGTTTGTTAGATCGAATTTTAACGCATGTACGTACAGAGATCATTGTATTGTTGGGATCTGAAGAAAAACGAACCTGTTCGAAGCGACAATAAATATCTTTGTGTTAAAGACATCCAACGTGTATTTATTTCGTACTTCTCCGCTCGCGGGACATTGTACTTGTCGCAACGAAACACCACAGGTGAATACATTATAGATTGAAATAAAATTTAGTTAAAATTTTTTGTTGCTTTTTTTGTAGATAAAAATGCGCACGAACTTATGGACTGACCTGATATATATATATGCTGACCTAGGGGAAATGAGCAATTATGTCTGTTGTCCTAACTAGACATGTCTGTACGAATCACATGTGTCTCATAAAGCCATTAACGTGTTAATGTATGTGGTAGAGATTCACAGGACGATTACACTACACCGGTCTACATCAAAATTGCCTTTTACATGAAAATGTACTTTAACTATAGTTTTCAATTTACCGAATCTAATTACAGAACTTAGAAGTGATAGTTAGCTTGTATTATTCATTTCTGCTACATGAACTCCTTCCCATCTGAACCTGAGATACTTGGGCATTGTACATAGCAATTTTTAGATCTTTAGATTACAGATCTTAAATTTACAAATCTAGATCTTTATATTAAATTTAAAAAGATTGGACTCCAAGACCAAATCTGTGTCCTGGAGAAAAGAATGTCAAGCATCTTCCTCTAGTAGAATTCAAACAAATTCTTCTTCCACCTTTACATATTAAGTTGGGACTAATGAAGAACTTTGTCAAACTTCTCAACAAAGATGGACTAGCCTTCAAATACCTGCAAAGTAAATTTCCACGTCTAAGCAATGCCACAGTAAAAGAAGGAATCTATATTGGTCCTCAAATTTGAGAAATTCTGAAGGACCAAAACTTTGATTCAGTTTTACAGGGCTTTGAAAAGGAGAAATGGGAAACTTTTAGAGGAGTCGTTCATGGTTTTTTAGGCAACAAGAGATGTGAAAATTATGATGAGCTTGTAAACAATCTTCTACAAAAGTATTAGCAGATGGGTTGCAATATGTCCCTTAAAATTCACTTTCTTCACTCTCATCTTGATTTTTTTCCCTGCCAACTGCAGTGAAGTAAGTGATGAACATGGCAAATGATTCCACCAAGACACATTGATAATGGAAAAAAGATACCAGGACCGGTGGGATGCATCAATGTTAGTGGACTACTACTAGAATTTGAAGAGAGATACCCCTGAAATGATTACAAAAGACAAGTGAGAAAGAAGAGAAAGTCTTGATTAAAAAATGATATAATATTTTGGTATTATTTCTTAATTCTCAATTTCATGTAAAAAGTTACAAAAACTAAATAAATTAATGTTTTTTTTTAAAATAAATATAGTTGAGGTTCTTTGACATTTTACTTAAATTCATAGTATTTAATATTTGCAATATTTTGAAACCAAGAGCTAATTTTAAAATTTTATTTGTTTATTTGTATTCAGTGACCGCAAATTAGTATAAAAACATAGCATGTATTTAAAAGGCACACAAAAAGTTTGATTTTGTAGACCAGTGTTATCTATGATGTGTTATTATTTGATGTTGTCATATATAACCCATTTTTTGACACAACAACAACCAGTCCATAAATGCTCATTATTGTGTTGTGAGAGCAGCAATGATCAGATCATAAGCCTCTGGAGCTTGTTATCAGCACTTAGTTCATGTGGAACCCATTTGCTCAGCTTCTAGGCTTTCCCTAGGCAATGTAATGCAAATGTATGTTTTATCACTTATATTGAATCTTTTTGCCACCATTTGCCATGTTTGTCTTGAATCCACTGGATGGCTGCCTTAAGTTCATCCTAATAAACAATGTTTTGTCTTCTCTTGTGAGGTGCATTTTCAAGAACATCATCATCTGATGCAAATTTTCTGTACCACATTTGGGCCATGCATTCACTCACTCACTATTCTCTCAAATGCTCTATGTATCTTGTGGGCTGCTTCTGTTGCATTAGTGCTTAGTTTAAACTTCTATAGTACCATATTTATTCACATATAAATTGAGGGTTTTATTCATTTATCATAGCTTCAAATTCCTAGGTTGTCCTAAACTCACGAGCAAAAGATTCTTTGTGATTTTGCAAATAATTTTTGTGAACCATGTATTCATGTTTTTTCTGGATGCATACCCTCTTGTATTCATGTTTTTTTCCGGATGCATACCCTCTTGTATTTAAAAACATAAGTATTTTATCTGGGTCATTTGAATTGTTCTTGTATATTGTCTGGAGTAAAGATGAATAGCAATAGGAAAAGCAAAGCTTTTGAATTGAAATTCCAACATCAACAGGAGCTACATGAAAAAGTTTTAATCCACATGAAAACAGATGATTTTTTGGAAATCAGAATTTGGAGAAACTCACTAGTGTAATCGACAGAGAGTGGGTTCAACTGTTAAGAATTGACAAAAAAAGGTTCTTGATTGTCCAACTTTACCAATATAAATTGTTGTCAATTTTACAAGATTTTTCCTTAAAATTTAAAATGCTAGTGATTTTTTGCGAGGTAATGTGTGCATTTATGTTCATTTGATATTTTATTTGTGATTCAACAAAATAAAATTAGAATTGTATTAATAAATCTAATTTTCTTTATTTTGATTTTTAAAGTCACACCTCATCATATATGCAAGTAAATATGATATATTTTTCAACAGGCCTTGCTGGTTTTAGGACAATTACTTTTGATATTTTTTTTTTATGCTTCTTGTGTCTTTAAACTTTTTCCAAGTGTAATTTACAGTTCTTAATGACATTCCAACTGCTCTTAGATTTTTTCCATTTTGTAGCAGCTTTATAAATTTTCTCACATTGTTACTAAATTTTTTGATTGTGGCCATTGTTTAAACAAAGACAGGTAAAATATTGCTGTTTATTTAGAAAATGATACAAGCACAACTCTTAAAACTAATAGTTTTTTCCATTCAAATTACGTGCAGCTGATGTACAGAATGAAAGGACCACCACTGCTCTGTCCATTTATGCCTTGGATTCAGACATAGAGCTGGGTTTTAGTCAGGCAAGAATTAACTGCACCACGCAACATGCACACCACCTCAGGTAGTTAGAGGCTACGAGCATATACATAGCTAGCCTTAGCAGTAATAACTGCATCAATCACAAAGAAGGGATAACTCTATCAGTAGCGTGGCAGGTGCTTATGGACAAAAATCTATGAATACCATCAATCACTGGAGAGTGCATGCACAAGGAGACGTAATCAGGAAACACATGTTCAAATTTCAAATTTGTTTTCTTTGATCGGCATTCCATCAGAAATTCAATGTTACCCGAGGAAGAACCTTTTTGGTTCGAAAACGTTAGTAACAAACTATTTATTTTTTTCATTTTTGTCGTCGTGGGGAAACACACCAGTAACAAGTTTGAAGATTTTGTTAATTTACTTCACTCTGGTGTTGAGTTAATGATGATTTAATATTATAATAGTTGGGAATGTAAAAGCTTGTATTTGAAGACTGGTTTTGCATTAATTTAAACATGTGTTATAATCAAATATCATATATTTTTTTTATTTATAAATGTGTGTATTGTGCTCGCATTCTTTTTTCCTTACTAGGCAAAGAAGAATGCGAAAGATCATCTGTTTTAAAGATAGAAAGTTGTTAACGGGTGAGTGCATATGAAAGATTTAAAATACCTAGGAAGCAGTACTTTAAATGCTTGCCATGTGGCCAACAGAATTCTTATAGTAGATGATCTACTCTATGCTTTGATTCAGAAAGATGCATAAAATTTTTTAATATATAAACTTTGTTAAGAAAACTGATAATTACATGATAAATTGTATTTTTAATAGGAATCAAATACCTTTGTATAGATGATGTTACGGAAGCCTTTGTCAAACCTTGCATTTTGGATATAAAGGTCGGACCTTGTACTTACGATCCTGAAGCATCTCCTGAAAAAATACTTCACGAGACTATCAAATATCCAATCAGTACAATTACTGGATTTCGAATTTTAGGCATGAGGGTAAATATATTTTTCTATTCATATTTAGAATAAATAATAATATATCATTTATTCTTTAATTTTAATGAATACAGAAATTCTATTTGTGTATTTATAAAATTATATATTATAGTCGTCTTTCAATATTGTAATTTGGATGAAGTTTTTATGGTCGACAAATTAAAGCACTTTTGTTATTGTGCAGATGTTAGCAGTTGTGTTGTTGTTGCATGTGTAGACTGGACATGGGAATGTTGACAGAAAATCCAATACATTTTTGGTCAGTTTTACATTGTGGACATTGTAGAGGTGGCTTCTATTTGTGCTCTTTTAACTCATTAGAAAATAGACTATGAGAACTACACAAAATGTGCTTCAGTGTGAGAATGAAATGAAATTGTGATTCCATTTCATTTATTTTTGACTTTGCTCTGTGGGTTGTAATATCAAAACAATTAACCACTTCTTGATTTTTGCAAGACCAACTTATTAGTTTACACATAAATACAATGAACAATTACAAATGTTTTTAGATATTGGTCTTCATTGGCAAAATTCTTCTGCAACTTCCAAAAGGTGAGGAAAACAACAAAATAAAAGATGAAGAATTATATTCGTTCTTTTTTTAGCAGACACTGACTTACAGATGATTTCTTCTTTCCCCCTTCAGCCAAAAGAAGAAAGAAAAATATCACTTTTACAAAGATATTGAATTACTGGTAACAAAGTATTACAGGGTGCTAAGAGGACTTTTTTCTATATTCGTTGTGGGCTTAGCCAGGATGATAGGAGACAGTGACCAAGTAACCAGGACCATTCATGAAAAGTTTCTTGCTCAGATTTGTCCCAGATCTCATAGAGTGCCAATGCCCGAACAACCTTTGCCATGCTACTTTTTGGGAATGAACAATGTTCACATTCACCTTTAAGTAATGTATCTATCCTACAGTGAGCAATGTTCTTAAGTCTGTATACTGTGTGTATATATATATATAGCCCTGGTTTTATTTTATTCATTTATTTATTTTTTAAAACTCTTTCTGTTGACATTAAGAGGGCCTCCATTAGCAAGCCCATTATNATTTATATAGATACAATAATAGCAAAATTTTTTGGGGACTTCACAACTTTTTCAAATGCAGTTTTGATGTCAAAATCTTGCTTGCTAAACATTGATCAGCGTATCTATTGGTCTCATTAGTCATTATATCTAAGATATCATTGCTGACATATATCTGATAAATTTTATGTGGATCATCCATGTTGGTGTTACAAAGGTTCAACTTTTGATTTCCTTGAAACTGTGGGATGTTATGAGGTATTGAGCCAATTGCTTGCCTAACAGAATTAGTGATTGCTGAATGTTAGAATAATTACTGTCATTCTCATCATCGCTGGCACCTGAGTTATTGTTAGAAGCATCAGGAGGCCCTTTACCTTCTGTTTCTGATCCAGAAAACGATTCTGATTCATCCAAAACTGGTTTATAATTTGAATCATCTAAAGCCTGGACTCCACATTACAGTACCTGAAAACAGAAACTCAGAAACAGAACTGAAACATATAGAGTTTTTGTTTCAGTTATGTTTTTGTTTTAACTTGACACCACTAGAAATGCGCCATCTGTTGATCAGTTCTGTAATTGTCGTAGAGTCAAACATGGACGACGCTACNAACGTCGTTTAACGTAAACTCTGTCTCTGCAATCGGCTGTATATGTATAGTAAACCTTCAAAACGGTTTGCGAGAGGTGATAAGAAAGTTCCTAAATGAGGGAAATTACGCATATAAACTAAATTTACTCCCACAACTGGGCTAAATTTGGATATAATGATTATAAATTAGAAATGAATTTGGCAGTAGAGTGAGGCGTTAGGTGCCATCTCGTATTAAAGTTAATAATTACAGTATAATTAATTAATTTTAGATTAATGGTTGTGGGAGTGTATTTGCTTAATATCGGGTTTCGATTGGCGTGTACTGTACATTTATATAAACTAAATTTAATTATTTTCATAAAGAATTAAATAAGTATGTTTATAAAAATTTACTAAACGGTAGACAATAGCGCCCCGATGGCAGCCTACTGTTCTGGGGAACCCGGGCTCGAATCCGAACGGATCGAAAAATCCCGAGGTAATTTTCGGGGGGGTGGTCCGTTCGGATATGACGGGCCCCGTCCCTCGCCCCCCGGCAGCCCCATTGCGGGCCTGGCGAACCCATAATGGGCTTGCAAAGAGAGGGCCTCTTAGTGCCCACAGGGCGAAAAGAGTTAAAAAAAAATATCGTCAGATAGAAATATCAACTTGGACTTTATTTATTCTGTTGTTTATTTTATAACAAACCGATTACTAAGCAACATAACTTTTCGNAGACATGTGTATTTTCTAACTTCTTCGATGAAGAATTCCAAATCTATTTGTTTCCTCATCGTTTTCGCTACACTTTCTGCCATTACGACAATCAAACTACACGTGACTAATTCACGTGACTACCCGTCACAAATCCTTGCGTTTTTATTGGTTGCAGTAAGACAGAAGCGCGGGACGAAAACGGAAAAGTTAAATAATTTTTAACTCTGCTTTCAGTCTTGTTTCTGTCCAACTGAACATTACAAAACTGAAAGTTTCATCAGTTTGGCTTTCAGTTTTAAGATTATGTCGTGGATTCCGGTAATGTGGAATCCAGGCTTAACTCATTGTCAAATATTCCAGATTCATCATTGTTAGAGTCATCCATATATTATCTAATTAAGTTTCTGACATGTTTTGATGGCTAGACATTCTATTTATATAAGATGATACCTATTTTTAAAAAATTCATTTATCTAATGCAAAATAAAATTAGTTCGAGTCTTATTTTAAACAAAATAACTTATCTCACAAAATATATGTAGTAATAACACTAGTATAAGACAAATTAGCTGATTTACTAAGACTTATGTGAATGAAGAACTTTCAAGAATGCAGAAACAATAAAAATAATGTGTTTACACTAAAACCACAGATTGCAGATACATATGTGACTCGTACTGCCCAAAAATAACCTTTAAACTAGAGCTACACGAGTCATCTGTGTGTCATGCTATAAAATTAATATGTTTTATTCCACCTAATAAAATAATATCAATATATCAAGTATGATGCCTGTAGAGTTATCAGTTATCAAAAAAAAAAAAAAATATATC